ACCCCATGCTCRTGATATGTAAGAAAAAGATCATCAGCTTGAGGTGAGAGAGGGAGGAAGGATGCAATGGCAATTATGAGTTTAGCAGATTCATCATCTCGGTGTTTCAAGATGAATGTCACTCTGACAGACTAAAAATCCTCCCCACAGAGTAGGAAACCAGGCTGGCTGGCTGGCATGGCTAAAGCCACACTGACTGCAAGAACACATGCTATAGAGCAAAAACATCCTGGAAAGAGGAGAAATAGTCTTATTTCAAGCAAAATTTCCTAAATTATACCAAAATTTTCTAAATAGCATCCTAAAAACTTTAATTAGTTTTTTAACGCCCCACAAGCCTCATTAAAGATATTTCCAGTGAAACGGCTTTGTCTGTTGTAACATTAATATTCCTATGGAAGTTTACACATCAGTTGGAAAAGTCTATGTGGACCTCATGTGTCTGGTGAAGGACCAGCCCAGCCTCAGCCACTCAAAGGGATCACAGGAGCTCTGTGATCAGCCAGAAAGGGATTTAATTAATCCTGAGAGGAGCCAAGACACAATGAAGGCCTAAATACTGTCTCCATTTGCACTTTTCCCCACCCCAAACTGCCGCTCAAACCTCCAGAAGGCCTCACTTTCATCCCAGTGCACAGGGACAGTTTTCTTTCAAGTCACAAAAAGCRATTTCCTCCTCAGTTTCTCCTTTAATTGCTCCCTCCACATCCATCAGAAACAGGCAACAAGGAAATCCTTCCCTCCAGCTCCCTCTGCAGAGAAGAAAGGCCACCCTGTTTGTGGCATGAGGCCTCAGAAACCCTTCCAAAGGGCTGTCTGGACTCCTGGCAGCTGCTCTGCTCTGTGTATAGTGATACAGAGACACATTTATCCCTCACCTCAAGGATTCCATGTCAGCTTCTCAACCTTATCAGCGCTGCAGGAATTATTCTGAATTACAGTCCAAGAGTTGGTAAGTCCTACAGGTGCTATAGACATGTAACACAGGAMAGTTAGAAATAACTATGAGAAAAACAACTACCAAATAAATTAAGAGCTGAAAAGGGAAAGGCAGACACTGCTAATRGCAACCTTAAAAGTCAGAGATGGACTAAAAAAATCTGTCACTCACCAGCTTAATACTACGTTTTGTCTTTCTCTCTTGCCTAATGTATTTCTTCRTTGCACCTTATTAACGTATTTATTGCTCAAAATAATTTTAGCTTGTTGTTTCTGTTGAAATTGCAGATGACAGGATATGTTTTGAAATTCCCTCAGCTCCCTGTGTGAGGAGGGTGATTGTCAAGACATGGATGTGAAATCAAACCAGATGGAAGAAAATAAAACCATGAAGTGAAACTGTGTCACCCAGAATGAGCCAATTGTCACTTCCTTCCCATCATGCAGACTTCCCTCCATCCCAGCACCGAGTGGTTGGGGCTCCCCACTTCCAACAGCCAATAATGAGTGAAAACACATAGAGGAAAAAAAAATAGGGGAAATGAGACCTCCTAAAAAACCAAATAATTAAACAAGTATTCAGCAGAAAATTCACTCATGGATTTTCAAACCATACAAACATAGAAGATTAACACCTGGAGAATAGGAAATATTAAAGCCCTGTGAATATTCTGAGCCTTTCCCTCACTGTTGCCTTTGTGGGACTGACAGAACATCCCCACAGGGGTTTATGTGGGCATTTCAGCAGCAGATCCCCCAAAATCTGAGGTGTGCAGTTCTCAGCATTTCACTGAGGGAATGGAGAAGGAGATGGAGCCAGGTAAGTCCGGGCTGTGGGTGGAAGGGGATCAGGAGCCCAACGAATCCCATGCTGTCAGCCCCATCTGACCTGGCAGGACAGGTCATTTCCCTTTGGAAATGGGAGGGAAATGCCAAACTGCTTTCTGCAGTTTCCACCTCAACTCCAGCACAGCTTCTGTAAAAGCTAAGGAGCTTTAAAAATCCTGCCCTGCTGGAGGTGTGCCCTGCAGAGACCCTGGGGAAGAACAGGCTCCCTGGGAGCAGCAGGGAGCATCCAGCAGCCCCTCCAGGGCCCTGCCAGGCTGTCGGGGTTCCTCTGCTGCTCCCCGGGCACTTGCCTTCTCACTAATTAGCCCTAATCAMGCCAACTCACAAATTAAAACCTGAAAAGCATTTCATCTTCCTGTTCCATTGCTGGTGAAGATCACTGTCTCCTCAAAGCACCAARCCCTCATCCATGAGTATCAAGGGCAAACACAAGGGGAAAATCAAGATGGTAATGCCACAACAACCCACACTCTACACATCTGAATCCCATTTCCCAGTGGTGCTYGCTAAATCCCAGCACTTCTGCTCTGCCCAGAAATCCCAGAAACAGGCTGGGCTGGGTATTTATCCCAGAGGARCTCTGGGGACAGGAAGCAGCTGAAAGCCAGGGCAGCTCCCAGAGCTGATTCACTGCAGCTTTCCATGTTTAACTGTGCTTCCTGAGAGAAGGAACACACACTGTGCCCACAAGCTCCTCCAAGGCCTTGGCTGRAGCCCAGGGCAGTCTGTTCCCTTGCAGGAGTGGCAGATCACAGCAGGGACAGAAAGGCCACTTCTGACCAACCATGACATCTGGTTTTGTCCTGCCCTTGCCAAATCTGCCCTGGCAAACGGGAACTCGGCACTTTGGGAAGGGGTGGGTGAGTATTGCCTTGGCCAGTTCTCCTTATCCCACTAAATYATATTCCAGAATCAAACAGGAAGGATTTCTCACAGTTCTTCTCTCYTTTCAACTTTTATTTTTGAATAAAAGAGCACAGTAAAATTTTCTATCACAATCCTTAGACCCCATTGTCTTGCTGGTCATGGCTGTAACTTTGTCAGATTGCTCAGACACCTGTTTTTGTCAGCACAAGTGTTTACAAAGARGGCTTTACAAAGTATTCATAAACTAATATTTTTCAGTGGTGTGAGAATTAATAGAAATCAATATGAAGCCCTTGGAAAAAGAAATTCTGTTGGGTAACTGAGGTGCCTGTCAGTGATCATTTTTCCACTTGCAGCACCTAGGACTGCAGGGGTGACATAACTCCAGGAAATCCACATAACAGGGGCTTCTTGCTGCCCTGTTAGCTGTTAAAACCCTTTTCCTAGTGCAACAGTGGGTCCCAATGCAAACTGTCTCTACCTATTTCTCACCCTACTGGGCAGAAGCAAGGATGAGCCTTAAGGCATTGTCTGTCAGATCAAAACTGGACCACAGGAAAAGCTGAGAAGGATAAATCCTGGAACAGATGCCTAAATGAGCAATAGCTGAGCCATATAAAATATAATGAAGTGCAGACTGGCAGGCTTTGAAGATGGAAAAGACCTGTTAGGTCTTCTGAAGCCAGCTTCTGCCAGCTTCTGCCAGCTCAAGATTGGCCCCCAGAGGGATGTGCTGAACTTTAAGGAAAAACCAGGCTGCCAAAAGCATTGTCAAGCCCATTACACTCGTTCCAGGAGAGAACTGAAAATCCTCAAACATCATGAATGGGCTTCAAGTCAAGGAGTGCCAGGAAAACTTGTGTCCCCATCTCCTTAACAAATCTTGGTGAGGAGCCCAGTCCAGAGTGTCAGGGCTGTGTACAGCACCTAGAAAGCATCGTGAATGGGAAGTGTGCACACCTGAATGGCACTGGGATCAGGAATCCTGTGTGTCCTGTGAAAAAGGCCCCTACAGCACCAACCACCCCTAAGCACCACCAAATAACTGCACGTCTTGAGAAGCTGCTGAGAAATGCAGTTGTGTGTGCTTTCATCATGGGAATGGAGTCCCAAAGGAAACCAGGAATGCCTTTGGCAGTGAAGACAGGGAAAAGAGATGGCAGCTGAGAATGATGCAGGGAGGACAGCGGGAGAAATCTGTCTGAGGGCAATGGGATGAAGGTGATGGCAGGAGACTGAAGTGACAGCTMAAAAAACATCCACTACGAGCCACTTGTAAAAGTAAAGAGGACTGTTCACACCCTGSAGTCACAATTCATGTGTCAACACGCCTGGGCTTCAGGCCCAAGCACTGAGATTGCTGGAGATTGCATTTGCCACCAAGGGCAGCAGGAGCAGATGGGACTTGAAAGTGACACCATAGGTGAGGAACAGCCTGGAGAGCAGCTGGGAACTGAGGGCACTTTGGTGGAAAAAAGGCACCTGAAAATCAGGGAAGCATCTCTTTGTCTGTCTTATTATCCAACTCATAAAAGATCTTCCAATTTAATGGCAGCAAAGTTGTTTTTATAACCCTAGCAAGTCACAGACTGGTTTTGAGGTCTTTTACATTTTACATCCCGCACTCCCTGTGGTTGGGATGTCCCACACTCCTCGTGGTTGGGATGTCCCACACTCCCCATGGTTGGGATGATCTGCACTCCCCATGGTTGGGATGTCCCGCAATCCCCGTGGTTGGGATGTCCCGCACTCCCC